GTCACACATCGTAAACCCGTACTTTTTTTTTTTTTTTGTCCAAATCAATGGTTTTGCTACTTTGATGGATCAATAATGGTTTATCTCCCCCCCTCCCATGTTGCAATCCTCTATCTTACCTTCATTAAAACCCATAATCAAGACACAATATTTATTTTCTGGTTCAAACCACCCACCTTTAGTTACATCTCAATCTTTTTGTCTTCATCTATCTTGCTCGTGGTACAAAAACCCGACTTTCGCTTGACATAAAAAAATTAGCTCTCACATGAATGAAAACAAAGAAAATATCAGAATAAAGGAGAAAAATAACAAATGCAGGTCAATTAAGAGCACTCAACCTTAATTGTGAAGTACTTATAGCTTTGGAAGGTAATTAAGATCATATATAAATCCACAAGAAAACCCTAGAGTTCAGAACTTCGAATCCATATGATTTCGATCGAGTTTGTGTTAGATTTATATGTCACATCCCAAAATCCAAGGTTGTGACGACTTGAAGAAAATGACTTGTAATGAAGAATAATCATACTTGTAAGTTATTATATGCCAACGACAAGTGTCCCACATGAATACTACTAAGGAGTATATATGTAAACCTATAGGGTTACATACAAAGAATATGTTTGCCTCCATTTGTAGAAACCCGAGATAAATCATGTTGATTGTTGAAATAATTATTTTTGGAGGATAATTATAAAAATATGTGTTAAAATGTAATTATGATAATTGCAGAGTGTTATCGATGAATATATATATAATTATATTAAAGTTTAAGATGATTATATAAACATTATAGATAATTATTAAAACATTATTTGAGTTATAGACTAACTATAAGATAGTCCATATAAATAAAAATAAAGTGATTGAATCCTTTTAGATTTATTCATCAGAGAAAATACAGAAGATAACACTTTTTTTTCCTTTTCTGTAATACACATATAAGATTAGGGTTTTGGGCTAGCACTTGGTGGAGGCACGGAAAATGTTCGTGTGTGGATCACCAATAGAGGAAACATATTTTGATTTCTCGGTGCCCTGTCAAAACCGTTTCCAGATATGAAAGGTACAGATTCTAAATAGCCTACGGTGTGTTTTCTAATTTGTTTTAATATGTCATTCGATCCGGCTTAGGTTTTAAAGTTTTAGAAACGTAATCTATAAATATAACCTAAAATTATTTTCCGCTACATTTAAATGCTTACAAAATCATTTTAAAACCCTACAACACTTAAATTTAAAACGTAATGGTTGAAGTCTAAATGATGACTCAATGCCGTTATATAAGTTCCAACAGATAAACTTAAAACACAAAATGAGAAATAAGCGAAACAACCTTCACATCCTCCTAGATCTTCTCTTTTCCTTTCGAAGAACCTATAATTACGACCCTTTTGAGAAGCATGCTAAAAGTCAGCTTTGCGTAGTGTGTTTACAGGTTTTCTTTACATGCTCAACAAATAAAAATGTAAACTTGAAAACATGTTTGATCATGGTAAAATAAACATGAGAGAATCGTTTGCAACTTTAAACTTGGTGAATCAAGCTATTACATCAGGGGCTACCTTCATATCAATGCAAGTGGGCTACGTCCCAATGTCCTTGCATGAAGCCTTCCGTGCATATATGGGTTGCTTCTTTAATACAAATAGCCTTATCGATACCAGTATAACTCTTACGGTAATTTCCTGTCGAAGATCCAACACATGACTCACAATAGAAAACATCTATTGATTTTCTTAAACTTGCAAAAACTTTCATAAAAACTTTCACTAAAGCATGCCACTAGAAGATATATAGTAAAATGTATGATCTGAGAATTAAAAAACTTTGCAACATATTGCGTATATACATGTATCTCTGTTTTATAAATAATATGAACTCATCTGATGTGTATAGGCTTCTTTATCTTCTATAACTTGCACGTAGGGTGTTCAAAAGCCCGACCAACCCAACATGAAATAATTCAACCCGAAGCAACCCGATGTCTAATCGAGTTGTAAAATCTTCAAACCATGGGTATTGGGTTGATATTGGGTTACTTTTATTTGAACACAACCCGACCCAACCCGATGAATCCAATATCCTTTTATTTCTTGGATTTAATATGATCGTTAAGTCTCTATTTATATGTATATTAGACAATTACACCATCACGTACCTTTTTCATATACATATATTTGCAATTTATTACCCATCTCTATATAACTTCTTGTATATATGTTCAGTAATTGCAAATATATATATATATATATATATAATATCTATACTATATTATAAAACATTTGACAAAAACTCTTAAAAACTATTTTTTATGCATGAAGTATTGTACATTGATGCATATTACTTAAAATTTCAGATTGCAAGTAAACTATGCACAAATACTACTTATTAAAGCTCCATGTTTGAATTCGTGTAACTAACTATGGATAAACATAATCACATAAATGATAAACATCTCATTTTAAAATATAAAAAATCTAAAATATAATTAGGATAATTATCGAGTTCTAACAAAATAATTAATTATTATCTTTATAAGAAAATTAAATTATTAAACCAAATATAAATTACTTCGTTATTGAATAAAAAAATTGAATTAAAAATTACACAAAAAATAAGAAATTTTAAATAGTTAATTTGATCATAATATCGATATATTTTTGTCAAGAATGAAAAACTGAGGAACATTCTAGTAACCATTCATCTGGAAAGTATGCATATGTGCATACAAATATTTGAAGTTGTTTTCTGGTTTTTATGCATGTATGCAAGTATGCACATGTGCATACCGGACAAATTGCTTACAAATTACATGTATGCACATGTGTATATTCGTTCAGATGAACGGTTATCAGAGTGTTCCTTTTGAACCTGACCTTATATATATATATATATATATATATATATATATATATATATATATAAGGATGAGATTATGTGAGAAGTGGATTTGAGGTGAGAAGGGTAAGAAGGGATTTGAGCCATTTATCAGTTTTAATTAGTTTTAATCTAATGGCTTAGATTAATTCCCAAATTATCTCCTCAAATACACTGAAAGGGTATTTACGTCATTTTATAATTCTTTTAACTTTAGTCTCATTGATTGTAAATGTGTCATGAGCAGTTATCGCCGAAATCCTCTCTACTCGTAGGAATGCTCTCTTCTTCACTGGATTTCTCTCGATTTCAAGATTACGATTTAGATAAATCCCACCTAAAATCTTGTTTTCTTCTCTTTGCGATCTTCAAATCTATGTTTAAATTATCTAGGTTTTGCTTCGTTGTTGATTATTTATGGGAAAAGTATAATAAAAACCAATGAACTTTCTTGTTTGGAATGATTAAGTCCTTGAACTTTTTTTTGGAACAAATAAGTCCTTGGACATTCCAAAACATGTTAAATAAGTCATTGGACATTCCAAAACATGTTAAATAAGTCATTGGACAATTTTTTGGAACAAATAAATCCTTGAACATTCCAAAATATGTTAAATAAGTCCTTGGACAATTTTTGGAATAAATAAGTCCTTGGACATTCCAAAAAATGTTAAATAAGTCCCTGGACAATTTTTGGAACAAATAAGTCCTTGAACAATCCAAAACATGTTAAATAACTTCTTGAACTTTAATAAAACATGTTGGATACATTCTTATGACTTGTACAACTAGTTAAAGTGGTTAAATAGTGGAAAAAAATCCGGAAAAAACCTCAATGAACATTCATATTTTGAACGATAAAATGGTAAAATAGTGAAAAAAATCCGGAAATATATTTTGTCAGTGATTTTTTAAACTAAAAAAAATTATAAAAAAAATTATTTTAATTAAAATAAATTTCACCAGTAATCTTTTTAAATCTTTTTTTAATTTAAAAAATCACATACATGATATATATTTTTAATTAAAATAAATTTAATAATAATTATTTTTTTTGTTTGAAAAATCACTGACATAATATATTTTAATTTTAATTAAAATAAACTTTATCAAAAATCTTTTTTAAATATAATTATTTTTTTGTAAATGTAAGTACTTTTTTACTATTTTACTACTTTATCGTTCAAAATATGAATGTTCATTGGGTTTTTTTCCGGATTTTTTTTCCACTATTTTACCACTTTAACTAGTTGTATAAGTGATAAGAATGTATCCAACATGTTTTATAAAAGTTCAAGAAGTTATTTAACATGTTTTGGATTGTTCAAGGACTTATTTGTTMCAAAAATTGTCCAAKGASTTATTTAACATWTTTTGGAATGTCCAAGGACTTATTTGTTCCAAAAAATTGTCCAATGACTTATTTAACATGTTTTGGAATGTTCAAGGACTTATTTGTTCCAAAAAAAAGTTCAAGGACTTAATCATTCCAAACAAGAAAGTTCATTGGTTTTTATTGTACTTTTCCCATTATTTATTCATAACTTGAATTCTCTGTACTTTACCGGATTCTCTCAATTTCAAGTCATCCTGTGTAAAATTTTGCTTTTTTTTCTTTGTGGCATATATGTTTAATTTATCTACGTTTTTGCTTTTATGTTGATTATTTGTTCATAGTTTCAGTAATCGACTTATTGTACTTGCTTTTGATGTCTGGTTCGTCTTTTCTTGTTTCTTCTGTAAATTGTTTTATCTTTTATTCATTAATGCGATTCAAATCTTACTCATTAATTAATTGATAGTGTCGAATGTTGCAGATAAACGTTAAATGACCTCTTATTCCTTACCTTATTTATCCGGTAAAATAATGTGAGTTAACAAACAACCAAGCCCGCTTTAGGGCGGGTCTATGCCCGGAATCAAAGAAACGGACCGGGCACACCCTCTTGCTGCCTCTGACCCAAGACCCGCTCCAGAACCCGCCGAGTAGAGGCGGGTCTCCATTTTTGGCCAATAAATTAGGGGACAAATGAGCATGGAAACTCAAAATTTCCATATAAATCTGTACCTTGTGAATGAGAAGTGGTACTCTGGGAATTAGCGTAGTTGAAATTGGGGGCGGGAACAACAGCTTGTCTTGGACGATTTGCACCTTCATCTTCCTGTTTCTCTCCAGAGAAAATGGCTCGAAACAAGGTAAACTTCAATTTATTTTTTAATTTCTATAATGTGTATAATCGCAAATATATGACCCAACAATCGGTTTAATGCTTTGTTGCTAGACTATTTAATTTGAACTACAAATATGTCGAACTCCACCTATTCTCGATCATGTTTTTTTCTATGAGCTTACTAATTTGATGTTTGTTTCAAGGCAGGAGATTTCAGAGTTTGTTTGTGGTTTTGCTTGTTGATTGTATTTGTTAGTTTAGTGACACGTACCAAATCGTTTTGCCAAACTTTTTGATTTTGTTTGAAAAATGAAGAATCGAATTATTGTTGTTCGTCTGATTTCTGTCAAGAATCAAAAAGTTTGAACTTGTCTGTTAGGCCAAAAAATAGAATAATAGTCGAAGCAACTAAGTTGTATATGTCAGCTGCAATGCTAAGCTCTTTATCATCGAGTTTATCAAGTTTTGACCGTGCTAGACTGCTAGTTGCTAAAATCTTGGAAACCCACCTAAGATAGTTCATATTTCATGTGAATTTACAAGTTGCTGTTTGTTTAGGGCAAAAAATCAAAATTAGTAACAGTCAAAGCAAGTATGTTGTTCCATGTCAATTACAAGTTGCTGTTGGTTTAGTTGCTAAAATCTTGGAAATCCACCTAATATAGTTCTATTTATCGTTATGCTGGTATGCTCTCTATTTTTGAGCTTTTCAAGTTTTGATTGGGCTAATTGCTAAACCTCAGAGCACCAAATATGGTTAAAATATCTCGTTGAAAGTACCAATTAATATTTCTTTAGGGCAAACAATAGAATTGATGATAGTCAAAGCAAGTTTGTTGCTATCAATTGGAAGTGAAGTATTTTACTGCTAAGCTCTCTATGATCAAGTTCTGGTTATGCTAAAATTGTTAGAATCTCAAAACCTCACTTAACATGTTTCATGTTTTCTATGAAATTATTAGTTAATCTTTGTTTAGGGCAATAAAAATCTTAATTGATAAATAGTCAAAGCACGAGTGCGATATACTGGGTTCATTTGTTTGGTTAAATAGTCGAGGCAAATCTGTTTTGCTTGTTGATTGTATTTGTTAGTTGGTTTAGCAACAGCCATAACTTCCAAATTCTTTTTGATAATATTGTGAGTATTGGTTTTATTGCATGATTTTGGTCCATCATACTTCCACTAAAATATTTAAAAAATGTTCCACAACTAATATTGTCGGTAATGTTCCTGCAAATTACTGAAAAGTGTTTCTTTTAGTGCAAAGAACCCATAATGAGAACATTCAGGATAAGTATGTTTTGCTGCCAAGCCATTTATGAAGTTTATCAGGTCTTGATCATGCTTGTTGCTAAGATCTTAAAATAGTTCATAATGTTTCTATGAATTTACTACTGATGGTTGTACAGGGCAGGAAATCAGAACTGATAGTAGTCTAGTTTGTTTGCTTGTATTTGTTACTTTGGTAACACTATCAAGTGATTTTGCTTAGATTTACCTTTTCCTTTTTTTCCTGATAAATGATTCAGTTTTATTGGTTTCTCTACTGTTTATTTGGAAACAACCATCAGATTTAATAACAATCTGCATTTCCGGCTTTCACACACTTCACAAGTCGGGTGTTTTCTTGAGTTCACGAAAACAACCGCCGTACTCTCTTGAGCAGGTCTGCTTACATCTTACCCCTCCCAGACCCCACCTTTGGTAGGGACATACTGGTTCGTTTGGTTTGGTTTATATATTTGGGAACTGCTGCTTACTTTCGCACATCAAGTGGCTTTGCTCGAGCTTTCTAAGCTTCTTTAAATAATCATATTGAAAAGTTTGATTTTATTCTTTTATTGTTTGATGTTGGTTTCTCATTTACAAGCCACTAAAACTGTTGAAACAATGATATTGGAGACGAGTGCAATTCATTAGAGTATAAGTATATTGAAAATTTTAAATGTTCATTTACTGTAAAAGAATTAGGTTTAAGTGTCAAAGCAAGTTGGTTTGCTTTGTTAATGATTTCTTTATATTTTGCCTCTGAAAAGTGATGTTTTGACCGTTGTCTGAAATTATACAGGAAGGGTTGATTTTATTGGTTGATGTTGGTCCAACGATGCACAGTGTCTTGCCAGAAATTCAGAAAGTTTGTTCTTTGTTAATACAGAAGAAGGTAATTTATTTACCTCTTTGGTTCACTTGTTGTTCCTTGGTGATGGTGGGGCTGTTATTCTCTTATTTGTGTTTCTGTCATCCTAAAGGTTTTGCACCAGTTAACTTGTTTTAATCGTTCATTTTGTATACTTGTAGCTGGTTTACAGCAAATATGATGAAGTAGGAGTTGTTGTATTTGGAACAGAAGGTAATATCCGTTTACATGATCGAGTTCATCTTTATTAACCCCTCTTTTTCTGTGTTAACGTCATGTAAGTTCTTGAACTTTTCTTTGAGGAGAGTCATATGCTTTATAGCTAGTCGTTTGGTCCTGTCTGTTACATAAAGTGACTGAAAATTGTGTCTATTATTGTAGAATTTTCTTGTCCACTGTCTTATTTAAGGTGCCACTTTATATACACAGATACCAAAAATGATCTGACAAAAGAAGTGGGTGGATATGAACACGTCACAGTTTTACAGCCTATCAAAGTTGTTGATGGAGATCTTGTTGATGTTATGCAACAACTTCCGCGAGGAACAGTTCCTGGAGATTGTATCCTATGTTTATGTTACATTGTCATGCATGTTCTGCTTGCTTCTTCTATAGTGATAGTTGTTAGGATCGATAATGTAACATCCTAGGCTAACTGTACCAGATATTGTCTGTTTTATCCACACACCTAGACTCACGGTTTTAAAACGTATATGATAGACGAGGTATCCGGTCCCTTATAAGGCAACTTACCATTTGTAACATCTCAAGCTAACTGTACCAGATATTGTCCGCTTTTGTCCACACACATGGACTCACGGTTTTAAAACTCGTCTGATACCATAGAGGAGGTATCCAGTCCCTTATAAGGCAACCTTAGCTCCCCTCCCCAACCGACGTGGGATCTTAGAGATAATCACAAGCAGGGGCGGATTATATGCTTGGCTATGCAATCATAGATTTCCCATGAAGTGTAATTTTTTAAACTTAGTAATGGTCGAATCATAGATTTGGTTGTGTGCAACCATAAATGTTGAAAGGATAAGGGCCTGTGCATAAAATTTATAAAGATATTTATTTGGTGCAACCACTTTGAAAATTTTCTGGATCTGCCTCTGATCACAAGCACATAATCTTAATTGCACAATACTATTCTTGCAGTATAATGTGCATTCTCAGTATTACATAAAAAAAACAGCCTGACTTCTTTTGTAATAGGAGTTCAGACTGAAGTAGATCAGATACCCAAAGCTTCTACTTGACTTTTTGAACAATTCTATGCAGAGTTGGGTAGTATTGCTCCAAAGTAGTTCACAGTGTAGAAAACAAATCTCTCTTCATATCCAACGACTTCATTGTAAGCATGTACGATTTTAATGTCTCATTTGGGGGCAAGTGGAAGTCATCATTAATGTCTACATTGTGATCACTGGTTTCAAAATTGGTACCTTGACTTGGACAATAGTTATGGATGCCATTGTTGTCGGGATGGATATGCTAATTAAGAAATATCAAGAAACAATCAAGGGTAAAAAACGTATCTGTCTCATTACAAATGCTATGTACCCTATCAAAGATCCATATGAAGGTACAAAAGAAGATCAAGTCTACACCATTGCTGAGCAGATGGCTGCACATGGGATGAAAATTGATTGTATCGTGTTTAAGGGAAACCAGATACATGATACACATGATAGTATCATTAAAGAAAATGACATGCTGCTGAGTATATTTTCCAAGAAGACAAAAGCAAAGGCAGTGCGTGTTGAGAGTTCCACTTCATTATTAGGTGCACTAAGGACACGTAATATATCTCCTGTAACCATATACAGGGGTGATCTTGAACTAAGCTCCACATTTAAGATAAAGGTGATTTCATTAACTCTTTATCCCCGTCTTTCATTCACATTCTTTCATTCACATTTATTTGATCTTATATCTATCAAAAAAGAATATCCTGATTCCATGTTATACCTTAGTCTAGTTCTACTGTTTCTCGACAAAAATAATTATAAGAGTGGCTACTTGGGCTTTAAAATGCAACATCTTCCAGACTGGTGCTTTTTTGTGGATATAAAATTTTCTGGGGTAATTATCCATGGTGTGTGTCATGAAAACAGCCTTTTGCAAACTGCAAACCAATAGTACTGGTGTATCAGGTTCATAACCCATGATCTTCAGTTCACAAAGGAGTAACCATATCTTCATGTAGCATAATAAGTTTCTATACTTATTTAGGATATCTTGTAGAAATACATCAGTTGGTTTAATGCATCGATTTGATTATTGTTTTCCATGAGCTAAAGCGAGCTTCATACTCTTGCCAATGGTCAGGTTTGGGTCTACAAGAAAACATCCGAAGAGAAGTTCCCTACTCTCAAAAAGTATTCAGATAAAGCACCTTCAACAGATAAATTTGCCACTCACGAAATCAAAATAGACTATGAGTACAAAAGTGTTCAGGATCCTAGTAAAGTTGTGCCCCCGGAGCAAAGGATAAAAGGTTATAGATATGGACCTCAAGTGATTCCTATCTCGTCTGCTGAACTTGAAGCAGTGAAATTCAGGCCAGAGAAGAGCGTGAAACTTTTAGGATTCACAAATGCTTCAAATATTATGCGGTATGATTTCACTTCCTATTGTTATGGATAGTCATAAACATGCACACATGCATAAGGTAAGGGACTTTGACTTTATTTTCGAACTTTATGCCACATGCATCCAAAGGCACTACTATATGAAAGATGTCAACATCTTTATCGCTGATCCGGGCAACAAAAAGGCTATTATTGCTGTTTCTGCGTTAGCAAGAGCAATGAAGGAAATGAATAAAGTTGCAATTTTACGGTGTGTATGGAGACAAGGACAAACAAATGTCGTCATAGGAGTCCTGACTCCTAATGTATCTGAGAACGACAATATTGTGAGTCTTCAATTGCAGTTCTAATGTGTAACTTGTGTCTTTGGCATTGTCTACTTGTCTTTTTTACATTGTAGTTGAATGACAGGCAGATTCTTTTTACTTCAATGTTCTTCCTTTTGCTGAAGACATTCGAGAGTTTCAGTTTCCTTCTTTCAGCAACCTTCCGGCATCCGTGCAGCCAAATTCAGAACAGCAAGAAGCTGCAGATAAGTTGGTAATGATGCTGGACCTAGCACCAGCTGGTAAGGAGGAAGCTTTGCGGCCAGACTTCACCCCGAATCCTGTTCTGGAGGTATCTAGTTGTGAAAATGCTCTTGCGTTAGTTATTTCCCCGAGTTTGTAAAAATCAAAAGGCAAGACTGATTCTACTACTACTGCTACTACTATCCTGAAATGAATTTCTTCCCAAAGAATGTTGCATTCACTTGGCTAGATTTAGTAATATAGAGATCAGATGGTAAAAGGTTTCCTTTTAGTTTGACAGAGAAACACATGTTCCCCAATATAAATACAACGGTCGAGTTACACATAGTTTAATGAAATTGCTTGCTTAGTCAAATATCTAAAATACCCTTATTGAGACAAAATAATGTGATCTTGCGGACTACAATCAACAGTATTAATAATTTGTATTTTGTAATGATCAATAAGAGGTATTGGAACTTTGCTGAACCGAAATGTGATGCGTTTCTTTTGGGACATTTCAGAAAGGAAATTGTAGTGCTTTTATGGAACAGAGTATGTAAATTCAATTGCTGGTTATCTGGATATGCTGCTAGGATTTTCCAGATCTTTTGGTATTTTGAAAATACATTGGCTAAGTAGGACAAAAAGATCATGATTCGTTCATTATTTGTCTCTGAAGTCTATTGTGTGTACCCAAAGAAAAACGGAGATTGCTTTCCCTAGCTTCTATAAATGATTTTGCTCATGTCAAAATCCTTGGTCTTTTTCTGACTTTTCACTGCTATTTGTTCAGCGTTTTTACCACCATCTTGAACTGAAATCTAAGCATCCAGATGCAGCTGTGCCGCCACTTGATGCAACTCTCAAAAGAATTACAGAGCCTGATCCTGAAGTAATATCCCAGAACAAGCTTGTCATTGATGAATTTCGAAGATGTTTTGATCTTAAAGAGAATCCTAAGGTTATTTCACCCAGTCTCCCTTTAACTTCAGATTTAGAACAACACACGTAAATGAGTCCCGTCTCAGTTCTTCTCACAACAAGTAAATGGGACCCGCACTTTGTTTTTTCCTGCAATATTCAGTGTCTTGAATGAATGGCCTTAAAAATAACATCTAAAACTTCATATTCAGCTGAAGAAATCAACGAGGCGCTTATTGAGGGACAGAACATCTGGATCATTTGGAGGGGAAGTTGTTAAGAATGAAGGCCGGTCTACCGACTTAGTGACCTCTACATCTACAGTCAAGGTAGAGACAATTGGGGACTCGACTCCTGTGCCAGATTTTGAAGCTATGATATCTCGTAGAGATAGCCCTGAATGGGTTAGTAAAGCGATTTTTGGTATGAAAAATAAAGTATTTGACCTGGTGGAGAACTCCTACGAAGGGGACACTTATCCAAAGGCTCTAGAATGCTTAGTTGCTCTCCGAAGGGGATGTGTCATTGAGCAAGTAATTTTTCTTCTTTCTCCTTTCCATCATATTTATTCTAAATATTCAATAAATTTTCATAGATAACATCATGAACCCCCTTGTTCTTATAAAGCATGGTGTTTGAAAGCGAAATGTGTGCTCTCTCTTTAGTACACATAAAATTTGTGAGAGGTGACCAAGATTTAATTTTTTTCGTTCTTGTCTAGGAACCGAAGCAATTCAACAACTTCCTGCACCATCTGTATAGATTTTGCCAGGAGAAAGACCTATCAAGTTTCTGTGAGTTTCTTGCTTCAAAAGACATCACTCTCATTACCAAAACTGAGGCTGAAGACAGGTACCAAACCTTGTTCCCTATTTCGCTTTCTATTTCCCATATTGTTCTTAACCAAACCAAACGAGCCCGATATATCACACCTGATGATGGGGTGTGAGGTGAGATGTACGCAGACCCGACCTCAACTCTCAAAGAGTAGAGGGGTTGTTTCTCTGATTGTTGTTGAAGCAGGTAAATTTCTGTCAATCTCCAGCTCATGCTTCATGCTTCATTTGAACAGTGAAATCGCAGAAGGAGATGCTAGAAGCTTGTTTGTGAAAGCCGAGCCGAATTCAAGTAAGTAGGATAAGTGCAAGTAGTTGAAATGTTTATGGTATTATGATGGTAAGTTTTTGTGGTAAATTGTAGTAGTTTTATGCTTTTGAAGATGCATACATCCTGGCAGAGTCTGTTTATGCATTCTGTAATTATAATGGAGGTTAAAGATTCCATCATATAGAAAATGGTGTGATTTGCTAGTAATTTGCTTGGTTCTTGAATAGCTCTGAATCATGAAGTTGCTCACTTATCAATGAAGAATTTCATTTGGAGTATCTATTAATCGGCCGTTTGGTTTGACGGATGTTTTTGAGGTATTTAGATTTCATGTAAGTATTTAAAGTCTTTGGTGTAACCATTGTTTGTAGGAATCTAAATTCAAATCTGGCAAACCAAATGTGCCTATATATATATATATATATATATAGGGGCTTAATCAAATGAGAACTAAGTTGTTTGTGGTAACTGTAAGAATCAACCTCAACCATATATTAAAAAAATCAATGGTTAAGATTAAAAAGAATCTTAATTATTCTATTTCTATAAATAAATTAGTGTCATTTAATGAAATTATATGAATAAGGGCAACATCGTCATTTT